TCGAATATAAGGAATCGATGCACGCTTTTTTGTAGACGATGTGTTATGCATGGCCTGACTAGTTGACTGCAGTTTATGCATGACGGATTTAGTTGTTTTCCTAATAAAAATCTTGGGGTATCCATTCTTGATCAGGTCATGTTCAATGGTCCAGAGCTCCTCCTGCAGGCTTTCTTCATCGGAACAAATGCGAATCGCTCGTTGAACTAAAGACCGAATCACTGAGCGCTTGTAAGCTACCGGGTGGACTGACTCGTAGTCGAGGTATCTACCGGAGTGCGTTGGCTTTCGGTACACAGCGAAGGCGAGGCCTGTGGGAGTACGTTTTACAACTGCATCCAAGAAAGGGAGGCAACCGTCTTTTTCTTCTTCCACAGTAAACTTGATGGAAGTCCCGACGCCATTTAGGCAGTCAAGGAAAGCTTGGACGTATTTCTTCTTTATCACGCAGAAGCAGTCGTCGACGTATCTCAGAAAAACCTTGGGTCTCGGCTGAAATGTTCCCAATGCTTTCTGCTCAATGCTTGCCTATCCAACACTTACTTCTCGTACAAGGGTGAATTCTACAGGCAAGTTTTCGGTACCGCAATGGGAGCTTCGATTTCGGTCACAACTGCGAATATCACAATGGAAGCAATTGAGCAGAAAGCATTGGGAACATTTCAGCCGAGACCCAAGGTTTTTCTGAGATACGTCGACGACTGCTTCTGCGTGATAAAGAAGAAAGACGTCCAAGCTTTCTTTGACTGCCTAAATGGCGTCGAGACTTCCATCAAGTTTACTGTGGAAGAAGAAAAAGGCGGTTGCCTCCCTTTCTTGGATGCAGTTGTAAAACGTACTCCCACAGGCCTCGCCTTCGCTGTGTACCGAAAGCCAACGCACTCCGGTAGATACCTCGACTACGAGTCAGTCCACCCGGTAGCTTACAAGCGCTCAGTGATTCGGTCTTTAGTTCAACGAGCGATTCGCATTTGTTCCGATGAAGAAAGCCTGCAGGAGGAGCTCCGGACCATTGAAGATGACCTGATCAAGAATGGATACCCCAAGATTTTTATTAGGAAAACAACTAAATCCGTCATGCATAAACTGCAGTCAACTAGTCAGGCCATGCATAACACATCGTCTACAAAAAAGCGTGCATCGATTCCTTATATTCGAAATATAAGCGAAGCCCTAGCCCGTCTATTCAGAAAACGTGGTGTACAGATCGCGCATGTTCCAGCAAGCAAGCTTAAGGCTGAGTTGCTAAATGTGAAGGATCCTCTCCCTCGGCAACACTTTCCTGGTGTGGTCTACAAGATACCATGCGCCGATTGCGAATCGGTGTACATTGGCACGAGTGGAAATTACTGCAAACGTCTTATGCAACACAAGAATGACGTCGCCAAGGGCCACACAGTGACAAATGCACTCGCAGAGCATGCCGAGAAGACGGGCCACGAGATAAGCTGGGACAACGCACGCATCATAGCCACGGAGAAGAATTTTACAACCAGACTGAACCTCGAATCACTAATCATTCAGACGACAAGTAACACAATCAATAGATCATCTGGCACACTAAACCACGTGTACTCCCGGACTTTGCGTCATGCGCTCAACGTTACATAAGAACCTGTTGCTCAGCCGTCATTCCATTGTGAACAAGGGACCCGTACGGGTCCCGAAACGTCATTGTTTTGTTTGACATTGGTCAGTGACCTGTTTTTTCAGCATTACAGTACTGTCCTGCAAATGATGAACTTTCTAGTTCTGGAGCTCTGAAATAGTTATTTATTTTAATTTAATACATACTGCGGACCACACTTCGGTCCAAGCAGGAGGGCATGGTGTAATGCAAAGAGAAATACAATACACACAAAACAAAAAAAAAACAGTGCACAGTTACTCAGTATCGCAAGTACTACATACGATTGTCTGGTTCCAGTCTGAAATGATGCGTGGAAAAAATGAAAATTTGAACGTGTCCGTTCTCGTGAAATACGGAGTTAGTGCATTTGGTTGGCGATGTCTTGTCGGTCTTGTGTTTAATGGAGAAAAAAAAGGGGTTGGATCAAGGGAAAGTTTGCGATTATATAAAAGAGACAGAAAATCAAGGCGGGACTTCTTTCTACGATCCTGAAGGGAAGGAATATTATTAGCTAGCATTAGGTCTGTGGGGGAGTCCGTTCGCAAAAACCTAGAATAAATAAACTGAATGGCCTTCCGCTGAATCCTTTCAAGTTTTTTAACGTTTTGTTTAGTATGGGGGTTCCACACGATACTCGCATACTCCAGCTTCGGCCTAATGAAAGTAAAATAACTAAGAAGCTTTACGTTTGGAGGGGAATTTCTGAGCTTATATCTTAGGAAGCATAATTTCCGAAAGGCAGACGAGGAAATATTATCTATGTGCATGTTCCATGATAAGTTGTTTGTTAACGTAACGCCGAGGTACTTATAACTGTCAACCTGCGTGAGAGAAGACGATCCTAATTTATACACGTGTTCACTGGGTTTTTTTTTTCTCGTTACACAGAGATATACACTTTTTCCAAATTTAATTCCATTCCCCAATCTACACACCACTCCCGCACGTTTTCAATGTTTTTCTCGAGTTCGTTCTGATCATTAGTACATGTGACTTCCCGAAACATTGTCTGGTTCCAGTCTGAAATGATGCGTGGAAAAAATGAAAATTTGAACGTGTCCGTTCTCGTGAAATACGAAGTTAGTGCATTTGGTTGGCGATGTCTTGTCGGTCTTGTGTTTAATGGAGAAAAAAAAGGGGTTGGATCAAGGGAAAGTTTGCGATTATATAAAAGAGACAGAAAATCAAGGCGGGACTTCTTTCTACGATCCTGAAGGGAAGGAATATTATTAGCTAGCATTAGGTCTGTGGGGGAGTCCGTTCGCAAAAACCTAGAATAAATAAACTGAATGGCCTTCCGCTGAATCCTTTCAAGTTTTTTAACGTTTTGTTTAGTATGGGGGTTCCACACGATACTCGCATACTCCAGCTTCGGCCTAATGAAAGTAAAATAACTAAGAAGCTTTACGTTTGGAGGGGAACATAGTCGTCAGCGAACAATCGAATTTGAACAGTAGGGTCAACAACAGTTACTAAATCGTTAATATACAACAAAAAAGCAATGGTCCCAAAACACTACCTTGTGGAACCCTAGAGGTGACAGGAAGACACCGAGATTCTTCTTCGTTAATTTTTACAAGCTGTTGGCGGTTGGATAGGTAGGCTGCAATCCAGGAAACAAAAATATCCGGAATGTGAATGTTTTTAAGTTTTGCTATTAATTTGTCATGTGGTACCTTGTCGAAAGCTTTTTTGAAATCTAAAAATATAGCATCAATTTGGCCGTTATTGTCAAGACACGCTGCTAACGAATGAATTATTGTCACCAATTGGGTTGCCGTGGAATAACCTTTTCTAAAACCAAGTTGAAAATTTGTTAGTACGGCATTTTCGTCTGGAAATTCAAAAATCTGTTTGGAAATAATATGTTCAATGATCTTGCAGCATTGAGACGTTAAAGATATCGGACGGTAATTTTGAAAGCTGGACCGGTCACCTTTTTTAAAAACGGGAACAATCAGAGCCATCCTCCAGTCACTCGGCAGCGTCCCAGTGGACAAAGAAGTACGAAATATTACTACAAGAAACTTAGCTAGTATTTCGGCATATCTGCGTAAAAAGGCGTTTGGAATCTGGTCTGCACCACATGAAGACTTGGTTTTCAAATTTAACAGCATAGATAGTACACCAGAGTAAGATACAAAGTCAGCGTCATAAATGCCAGGACCTGATATTAACAGTGGATACGTTTGCACAGGAGAAAACAGACAGTGAAAATAATGCTTAAAATATTTAGCAATGATTCCAGGGTCAGAAACGAGGTCACCATAGATTTTCATTTCCCTTACAGGCTGCTTTTTGTCAGTAATGTAATGCCAAAACTTTATAGTCGGCCTTTGAAAAGAACTGACAAACAACTTGCAGTCTAATTATGCACATGAAATATTCTTTGCGTGATTGTACTGCGAATATTTAAAAATTCATTGCGCCAACTCTGTCTATGCATGAGCGTGCCCTTGGTTTGCCTTGATTTTGAATTGCTTGTTTGATTGGCAATAACAGGCAGTGCGTGCTGAAAGGCCAACTGTATGGCCGCCAACATTTCTCGTCTCTACGAAACTTCTTACTTTGCTTAGTTTGCCAGGGATAATACCGAGACGGGATTGATTAGTGCCACATCGAACTCAAAATTTGGCCATCAGCTGCAGCGTGCCGCGTCAGCGTCAACACAAGTGATGATAACAATCATCATGACGTGACGTCATCGCTTGGCCGAAATTCAAAGGAAACCCAAGTAATGCGCAGAAACATTTCGTAGAGGGCGAGAGAAGATCAAAACTATTGACTGAGAAAAAAAAATAAAACGTATTTTGTCTTTGACTCTTCTTGGGGGAATCGACCAATGAAATCGATCAACAGAGTATTTCTTGTGCTGTAATACGAAAAAGATGCGTATCCAACTATTTCGTCTCCTAGCCTGGAGGATTAGATAGGTCCAATACAAAAAAAGGCTACAAGAATTAGCAGTCTTCACAGAAAAGATGAACCATAGTGGAAGTATAATATTAAATGTAAAATGTTATACATATTTAAATAATCATACTGAAAACAACGAGCACACCAAATATACATGAGAAATTCTTTAGAAGAAACTGACGAACAATGGTGAAAATATCACATAAAAGATCAAACATATTCAAAGAGCCATGCTATAAGGGTATAATATTAAATGTAAAATGTTATACATATTTAAATAATCATACTGAAAACAACAAGCACACCAAATATACAAGAGAAGTTCTTTAGAAGAAACTGATGAACAATGGTGAAAATATCACATAAAATATCAAACATATTCAAAGAGCCATACTATAAGGAAACGACGAACACAACATTACTAGGAAAACACTACTTATACACACGAAGATTTTTTAGGAGCACATGAATACTGAAAATGCCTAGTCAGAAACTAAGTATTGTTTATAGGCAACGTGAAAAATTTCTGCGACTTTCATCTCGAGTGACAAATTGTTCCATAGCTTATCACCAACAGTTGGATTATTCTTGCACCGTACATATTCGACCATAAAAGCAGATGCAGATTACCGAAGCTTGTGTGAAAGTGTTGCAGGGCAAGGAATGTTTGTGTATAGTATTCTATTTACAAAACAGAAAATCTTTAATTGCGTAAATTCAAGAATTCAAGATTCTGTTCATTAGAGACTCCGTGATGTTTGTCTCAGTGATGCAATTGAAAAAAAAAAAGTGCTCAGTTTGGATACTCTTCTTACAACGAAACAATATTTATATGTAAGTAAGCTGTTCACGACAAACCAGAACTGCATAATAATATTGGCAGCTCGAAAGAAGTGCCGATCGTCGTGTGCTCTAGCATTATGATTGTGTGCCTTAATCATTGCACGCAATAGAATATGAAAAGGGAGAGGTGAAACTTATATTGAACTATTTCAACTATCAAAATACGTGCTTCGGAGGGTAATGGATAGCGTTAAACATGCTGTGTATCTCTACTTAAGACTGTGAAGTATTAACCAGCTTCTGGAGATAACAAGCGAGCAAAGTCACAAAGTTTGTAACACCGTTGTCACCAGCGAGTGAAGTCACAAAGTTGGTAAGAGAAATGAAGCCGACTAGAAAGATAATTCGGAAATAATACAAGCTTTATTTCTTTTTCTCTCTGATCCGAATTCCTGCATGTATGCTGCGTATACTCGCATTAGCATCGTTAGTGCTGTTCAACAAATGACACCCACAAATCACAGTCAGGTGATACGCACCACATTCGCGATTGGCATGTCATTACTTCTTCCTATGTCATTGCGTAGTGCACATTACGGTGCTAATGCGATGCAGTGAGACCATTTTGTCTTCTTTACCTTTGGTAGAACCATCATATTCAGAGAGTAAGTCTCTAATGGAGCGATGCAGGGTACAATATTTCAAGGAATGCTTTTCTGAGTAGCTAGCTAGATATTTACCAACATACAATAGCTCGTAAAAGATGCAGGGCAGTAAGTGCTAACAGCTCTGTCCAACCTCTCTCCTGATATTTTAAATAAACGCTCTTTCACTCTCGTACAAAGCATCGCGCTTCTCTCTCTCTGTTTCTGCTACAGAGCCATTTTATCGGCGTGTGGATAAACAGAACTTAGACTGGTGGCGCCACTGTGCACGGGTATATAGGTTGGCGTTTCCTGAATATAAAAAAAAATTGTTGACGTGAGCGCATTGTTGTCGTCTCTTTCATGTCCCTGTCCTTTAGCGCTCAATAGGTCAAATGTTTCTACAGGTTTCTCCGAAGTTCCAAGAGTGCGTGGACAACGTAACCATTGGGAGCTTCTACAAATTCATGACCGTAAGTTTTACTCCCAATTTACCGAAAAAAAGAAAAAGAACTTCATTCGGTGCATTTTGGAAGTAGAATTACTTCATTGAGTATTTTATGGCTATACATAGGTGAACTTGTTTTAGCTCATGACAGACCAGGTCCTGTGAAAAAACGATGCACGACACGCAAAGCATACTTGCACGGTATTCCGCTTGTCCTTGCCTGCCAGTACCAAAACTTGTTCACACTGGACAGCTCACTCTCAAATTTTACGCCAGAGACTTATTTTCATCTCTCTTTTCATTGCTACTATACGCAGGGTTTGCAATGCATCCTGAGGCTCGCGAATGCAGTAAGTATCTTCGAACAATACTTTTGCTGTTTTGTTTGTGGATATTGTAACGAAGCTCTGACAGTTGATAAAGAGGTGGTATTTGTAACGCTGACAAACGCCGCAGCCATACCGGTAAAATATGAAACTTCCATAATGGCAAACTTCGGTCTGAAAAAACAAAGCACAGTACAGCGAGCACCGTCAACGGTTGCCTAAATCTGATCATTGATGAAAAGCGCAGTGTTTCACTCGTACAGTTTAATCTTTAGTGTCGCACGAACTCCTAATTGTACGCTGCTATTTACCTAGCGCACGCAGTGTGATTCCACGATTCGACATATTATCCCAGAAGCTTTCAAAGCATGAAGGCACGGCTTGCGTCGTAGGATAGCTTCGTGAAAAGTGATTGTCTGCGAGTATCGGTTCGAACGAAAAGCTTATCTAAACTATACATATGCAGGCGTGTCAGCAATATAGGAATGAACGAATTTCACACTTCTCAACAAAAAAAGACACTCATGTTTTCAAATTTCTAGTGGCCATCAACTGGCGAGTGGCCGCACTAGAAAACATTTTAATGTACGCCCAGTTACGTGTTAAAAATAAAAAAAGCATGCACAGAAAACTAGCATACCAGTAAATGAATGCTAACATCTATCACACTGAAGCTAATGGAGGTGCACTGTATTCGGAGGTCCGTCCGTGTCATCGTAACAGTGAGAGATCTGCTTTTGCTGGAGTGAAACCAACGCCTAAAATTTATTTCGTGGTTTTTAACAGTTCATTTGAACACTAATAATACAGCTAAAGGCGAGAGTATCATCATGCCTGCACCTTATTTTATACTCAACGCACAGCAAAGCGAATGGTATGATTTAACGTGAATGTGTGTTAACATTCCGAGTTGTGTTATTGACAAACAACCAGCATTTTTATTGTCTGATTTCGCTCTACTTTTCTGCTTCTCTAATTCACTGTATGTACTAATTTCATTAGGAAAACCTACAAGTTTCGTTAATATTGTACTATGATAGGTACCCAGCACTTCCACCACAAAGATATTACGTAAAAATGACACGAGGCGTGTCTATTTAGAGTCTATATTGAAACTGATGCGTATAGCATCGAATAAGATGGAGGACCGCACGCACAACCAACAGACCACTTCCTCGTTTATCGTCTTCTGACACCTGGTATGTCAGCTACGTAGCAATATTAACGTCAAGATTAAATGCGCATAACACATTCTGCTATGAAGCAGAAGGTCCTCACTTAAATTCCAGGCTGTGACGCACACATGCCAAGCAGGTCGGAGTGCTAAAGCTGGCGAGTATTTTGCCTGTGTGAATATGTACTGTAACTGCTCAAATTTATTCAGCAGCGCCTCGTTTCAGTGTGTTAGTAAGTAATAGCATAGCCAAGAACATAGATTATTGACGTAGCTGACGTACGCACTGCGCACTGTTTGCATGGTAACTAAACAATGACAGCGCACGCATGAATCATGTCTGTAAATGGTGTCCCACCTTTCCTCCCTTGCTTCAATGAACCGAACAGAAAAACACGAGTACGCATTACCGTCATGACTTAACGTACAATTCTTGTGAAGCGTTAATGGCCATTCTTGGTACTTCCTTACCAATACTTTCTCGTGCGATAACATTCCCGGAAGATCGTGGGGTTGGGGCTGAACGAGAAATTGTCACGTGACACTACCGGTTTCCTTTCTTTCTGATTATTTTGTTTACCTGAAACGATCTTCTTTGAAACATGAAGCTTCGGCAGTAAGTGCTAATAAGATGCACATTTGTAGGGACGTATGCTTTTCTTTAGTTGAATGAGATATTTCCCACGTTTTTTTTATTTTTCACAAGCAGCACAATCACATAATCTCACGGACACTAGTCAAGCTACACATGGATGGGGACACAAATTTATGCACTGTATTAATGAAATTGCGCTTCTTGTTTTCCTGGAATTTCACGAATGTTCGTGAAATACGTGTCGCCTAACCTAACCTAACTTAGCGTAACCTAACCTAACCTAACCTAACGTAAAATCCATTTGCAGATTCGACCGGATCGCTTTGTCGACACCGCACTGCTGTTCTCGGCGGTGGGGGACTTCAAGGGTACCCGGTTCGAGCTTGCAGTCGACAAGTGCGCCTCGCCGCCCATGCTGGTACTTATGGTTGTCCTTATATACACTGCAACGTCATGCTTTTTCCTTTCTTAGACCACTCTTCATGCATTGCACGAAACTGGGGGTGGGGTGAGAACGCGCCACGATTCTGTATTTGTGATTTGCTCAACAACGACGCTACAATCCGGAACAAATAATCGACTCCAAAAATTAAACGCTAACCGATTCGATTTTTTTTAACTCGACCTTCTTCGATATGAGGAAACATGTTGCGACGCACATTACTCATTTCTCTCTTAATTGCCGTATTCGATTTGCGCCCAAAAAGACTCTCAGCAAAGCTCAGCGCAAGCTGCACCTACAGTATCCTAGAACCTTGACAGTAGCAGTAGATCATTTTGTTCAGATATCGTGCGAGACGCCAGCGTTACGTATTTTCCTGCAACCTACGTGGCCGCTGGCGATAACGCTTGAATATTCGACGGCACATGCGTTAAGGCTGACGCTCATCCCTGCTTGTGAGTTTATCGATGGTCGATGCTCTGTGCGCCTATATAAGTGTGCAGCGTGCCTTGCTTGCTGTAATTTAAGTTTCCATTCCGAGGCCACAGGTTCGGCCACATAAAGGGACTGTGCAGACACTGACTGCTCGCTTCGTCAACGTCACGACCCCGTGACAATATATTATACACACTGCGACGATATTGGGCGAAAGGTGGACACCTGGTTTGATTCACTTGCCTTCTACCAGCACAAACTACACTATAAGGAAAAAGAAAGGAGGCCTCTGACTCTCTTTTGCAACGTATAAGAACTGGAGTAATATTGTATGTAAGCTCTCTTTGTCCGTGTGTCAGTGTGCGCTGAAATTAAGTTACGATGCAACGTATCAAACTCTCATGCATAAGGCCTTCGACCGTGTTTTACAACGTGTATGACTCGTGTCGTGGCTTCACAAAACACCCGGACATAGACTAGAGCAAAGTACACGGTACAGTGTTTATTTATAGTCTATGTCCGGGTGTTTCGCGCTGTCACGATGAATCTTCCCCAACTAGCCACGTTTTCTATCTTGTTTAATGGCTATCGTGCATAAGGCCGTCGACTTTTCTTTTTTTTTGCAACGTATACAAGACTCTCATGCATAAAACACTCTTTGAAGAGGCACGGAACCTTCCAAAAGGGTCAGCTGTGTACGCTTAACCTTTAGGCACAATTTTGCTTTTTCATGCACGAAATGCTGTGTGCCGACATGCTTTTCAGATAGCCCATATTTCAATTTGATTTCTTTTTTAAAATTATTTCTAAATATGTGCACACATGCTCACTGGCTGCTGTTTTTCGATAAGCATGATGCGATGGAAGTTGCGGCGGGCGGGGTTTCGTGACCATACGTACACTGAATCAAACTCATTGCAGTCATTATAATGGTGAATACCATGTTGATTATGCTGACAAGTACAAGTAGCCCATTTGTAGCCGTGAATGAATATGCAGGCTTTGAAATGCACTCCGTCTTTTTCAGCACCCGCATGCCCCAGCCTATAGTTTAAGCTTGAGTGTTTTTTAATGCTCTCTTTCTGTCTCTCCCTTCACATCCCACCATCTTCTTCCCCGATTGTAGGATAGCAAATCACACATGCGTCTGCTTAACCTTCCTGCAATTGGTTCCTCTTCCTCCTCCTTGATTCAACCTATATCACGTAGTTCGCTTATGTGGGTAGGCATTATTTCCGCCCTGATGGAAGTTGATAAACAGAACTTCTGCTTTAATTGTGATCTCTTCTAGTTCAAAATAATCTATTAATAGTAATAGTTGTTCATGCACCTGTTTTATTCTTCAGGCGATCAAGTTCACTACCTGCCTTTTCACTCGGTTTCAGGAGGTGAGTTGAACTTCGCATACCTTTTTAGTGCACCACTTAATAGATGAACAATAGAATAAAGTAACAGATTGCTCCTAGAAGTCTGGTAATTGTGCGACATAATGTCAAGCTTTTCAGATGCAGAGCGATCTCGTTTGCGTTCAGCAGCTATGCCATGACACATCTACCACCGAGCAGAGCGATAAACAACACACACACACACACACACACACACACACACACACACACACACACACACACACACACACACACACACACACACACACACACACACACCACACACACACATATATATATATATATATATATATATATATATATATATATATATATATATATATATATATATATATATATATATATATATATATATATATATATATATATATATATTGCAACGAGCAAGGCTGCGTAAAAACACAGGTTATTATTCGAGAAACGTTAGCCGCAACAAGCTGGTACAGGCAGGAACCCGGCAAGCACGAGCCACACACGGACGTCAACGTCTGCTTTCACGCTGGCACAGAGCTGGCGCCACTATGCTTCGGTACAATCACTCCTCGCGCAGAAGGGAGCCAACCTGGCGACCTAGGGAGAGGCACGACAAGGGGGTCATAGCACGGTTTCAGGCGTGATACGTGTACTGTTTCACGCCCACGGCAGCGTTGGTCCGAAGGTGAATCAATGTGCTCAACTTCATGGTTGACTGAAGATGTTTGCCGCACCACACGGTAGGGGCCATGGTATTTCGACGAAAGCTTCGGGGAAAGACCGGGAGGGGTAGACGGGACCCAGAGCCAAACCAGCATTCCTGGGTTATAGTGTACAGTAGACGCAGATGAATCGTGGTCAGTTTTCTGGCGCCATTGGTCTTGTGCGGTAAATGAGCGAGCGAGTTGACGACACTCTTCGGCATGAGCAGCTGCTTCGGAAACAGGCGTCGCTTCGGAAACATCAGGCCTGTAAGGGAGAATGGTGTCCATGGAGCATGATGGCTCACGTCCGTACAGGAGGAAGAAAGGAGAAAAGTCAGTGGTTGTTTGTGGCGCAGAGTTGTACGCGTACGTGACAAAAGGGAGCACTTGGTCCCAGTTAGTGTGGTCATCAGAGGCGTACATGGCAAGCATATCTCCAAGGGTACGGTTAAAGCGTTCCGTCATGCCATTGGTTTGAGGCTGGTATGCCTAGGATTTCCGATGGACAGTGCGACATGCTTTGAGCAGCTCGTCGACGGCGTTCGAGAGAAACACGCGTCCACGGTCACTCAGTAATTCACGAGGTGCACCGTGTCGCAAAAATGAGATGGTGAAGAAGAAAGGACGCAACGTCTTTCGCAGTGGTAGCAGGCAGCGCAGATGTTTCAGCGTAGCGTGTCAAATGATCGACGGCGACGATAATCCACCGGTTGCCTCGAAGAGAGTTGGGTAGAGGACCATAAATATCAATTCCGACGCGGTCGAATGGTCTCGCTGGGCTGGTTAAGGGTTGCAAAGGGCCAGCAGTGCTGTGAGAAGGCGTCTTGCGTCGTTGACACGTGGTGCATGACCGAACGTACTGGCGAACGTGCCGGTACATGCCGCGCCAGTAGTATCTTAGACGAAGGCGAGAGTAAGTCTTAAATACTCCAGCGTCGCCACACTGGGGGTCATCGTGAAAGGCAGCGCAGATGTCCGAACGCAAATGACGAGGGATGACAAGGAGCCACCTACGGCCGTCCGTCACGTAATTGCGGCGATACAACAAGCCTTCACGGACAGCAAAGTGTCTTGCTTGACGAGAGAGGGAGCGTGAAGTCGTTTCTGACGAACTGTGAGAGAGGACGTCGAGCAAAGAATTGATCCAAGGATCCTTGCGCTGTTCGGATGACATGTCAGGGATGCTCAACGATGACGAATCGCAAATGGCAGTTGATAAGCAGGCAAGGTCAGGAGGCAGGGGAGAACGGGATAGTGCATCGGCGTCTGAATGTCTGCGTCCTGAGCGATAAACAACACGGATATCGTATTCCTGAAGGCGTAAAGCCCAACGAGCGAGGCGGCCAGTGGGATCTTTCATGGACGCTAACCAGCATAAGGCATGGTGATCTGTGACATCAAACTGGCGTCCGTAAAGGTAGGTGCGAAATTTTCCTATAGCCCAAGTGATAGCCAAGCACTCCTTTTCCGTGACGGAATAGTTGGACTCTGCCTTCGTTAGTGTACGGCTGGCATAGGCGACAACGTACTCGTCGCAGCCATCCTTGCGTTGAGCGAGAATGGCACCGAGGCCGACACCGCTTGCATCCGTGCGAATTTCAGTGGGTGCATTGGGATCGAGGTGGCGGAGAACTGGCGGAGACGTGAGTAGCCGGCGCCGCGCCGTGAATGCGTCATTGCAGTGGGAATTCCAGCCAGTGAGGTCTGCGCTACGGGATAGAAGCTGAGTCAGAGGGGCAATTATAGAGGCAAAATTGCGAATGAAACGCCAAAAATAGGAACACAAGCCTACGAAACTACGAAGCTCCTTTAGGGTAGTAGGCTTGAGGTACTCGGCAACGGCACGCAGTTTGGCAGGGTCTGGCGATATTCCTTCTTTTGAAACGACGTGGCCGAGAATTGTGAGTTTGCGGGCGCCAAAACGACATTTTTTGAAGTTTAGTTGCCACCCGGCTGCCGTAAGGCACTGGAGAACTTGTTCCAGACGGGAAAGATGAGTTTCAAAATTTGCCAAAAATACAACTATGTCGTCTAAATAGCAAAGACAGATGTGCCATTTAAGTCCCCAGAGAACACTGTCCATCATTCTTTCAAAAGTCGCAGGCGCATTGCAAAGACCGAAGGGCATTACATTAAATTCATATAAGCCGTCAGGGGTCACAAACGCCGTTTTTGGACGGTCTGGTTCAGCCATTGCCACTTGCCAATATCCAGAGCGCAGATCCAGTGAAGAGAAAAACTCCGCACCTTGAAGGCAATCCAAGGCGTCATCAATGCGTAGCAGGGGATAAACATCCTTGCGTGTGATGTGGTTTAGTCGACGATAATCCACGCAAAACCTGATGGAGCCATCCTTTTTTTGCACGAGGACCACTGGCGAAGCCCAAGGACTGTGTGAGTGCTGAATAACACCACGTTGCAGCATCTCGTCAACGTGTTGAGTGATGACGTCACGCTCAGCCTGCGAGACGCGGTAGGGGCGCTGATGAAGTGGAGTATGATGACCGGTGCCGATATGGTGAGCGACAACTGACGTGCGTCCCAAGGGAGGTTGTCCGTAGTCGAAGGAGGCGCGGAAACGGTCAAATAGTTGAATGAGCTGATTGCGCTGGTCTTGCGTAAGGCCGGTGTCTACGCTGCGCAACAGAACGTCTTCGTCAGGTAGTGAGGGCGCGGTGGCAGCTGTGACAGCATCCACGGACATCGGTGTCGTATCAGAACGGGCATCGAAAGGAAAGATGTCATCATAAGTGTCAAGACTCCCAATACATTCGCCATGCAATAAGGTAGCGGGACAAGGGAACGGATTGCACACGTACACGACACTGGAGCCATCGGCAAGTGTTATGACGGCAAACGGGACGACAAGGTTCCGGCGACGAGCGCATTCTTGTGACGGCATAAAGAGGGCAGTTGAATCAGAAACGGAGTTGCACAAAAGAGATACGGCGGCGACCGAAAAAGCAGAAATGACGACGTCAGCGGCGACGATCACCTTTTGGGGTGAGCGAGGGAGATCTATGAATGTCGTGCTGAATGGAAACAAAACGAGTTGAGCACGAGCGCAGTCAACAACCGCATGATTAGCGGAAAGGAAGTTCCATCCCAGGATGATTTCATGAGACGCATGCGGAAGGACGACCAATTCAACGATGTAAAGCACTCCTTGAATCACAACACGAGCAGTGCATGTGGCAGAAGGTTGGACGTGTTGCGAACTCGCTGTGCGTAAAGAAATTTCAACCAGTGGAGTCGTCACTTTGTTCAGTTTGTGGCATAACACTTCACTGATTATACAAATATCGGCACCTGTGTCAACAAGAGCTGTTGTGGCGAAACCGTTCACAAACACGGCAATCTCGTTAGGGGTCGAAAGATGAGGCCTTGGAAATTTCGTCGCTGGCGCAGCTCTTGCCTCAGGAACTGCGACTGTTAGTTTTCCTCCTGGGCGTGGTTGGAACGGCGAAGCATGGGGGAAGGAGACCGAAGACGGGGTGAAGGAGATCGACGTCGGCTGAAGTATGGTCGACGTGAGCGGAAGTCATGTGAATCAGGTGTCACATGCGATTCTGATTGCCGAGGTATGTTGCCGGAATGCTGAACATCATTAAAAAAGTATCCACGGCAACGACAGTGACGCGCGACATGTCCTCGAATACCACAGTTGTAGCAGACGGGCCGGTTATCCGGAGTACGCTGTTGTGAACGCTGCCACCGACGACGTTACGAAGGGCGCTTCGAAATCTCACCGCTGCAACCACTGTTTCGAAAGACGGCGACGCCAACACGGTCCCGAAGGCGTCACTGCTTCGAATTCTACCAGGAAGGTCACCAGCCGTTTGGTAGCGTAGGTTTCTCAGCTCGCGACTGCTTCTGCGCAGAGCTGATAGACGAGCGGACAGAGGCGTTACAAATTCGGCACTGGGGCCGACAGAGACGCGAAGAGCCGAGCTTTTCTCTCTAACACATAGCTCTACTCTCAAATGGGTCTGCTAACACATAGCTCAACTGCGACACACATGTCTGCTCTCACATAGGACTGCTAACACACAGCTCAACTACCACATAGCTCAACTCTCCATCACATAGCTCTCTTCTCTGACACACAGCTCAACTCTCTATCACATAGCTCTCTTTTCTGACACACATGTCTGCTCTCCAACAGGTCCGCTGCTAACACATAGCTCAACTCTGACACACAGCTCAACTGCGACACACATGTCTGCTCTCACACAGGACTGCTGCTAACACATAGCTCTCCTGTTCACATAGCGCTCTTCTCTGACACACATGTTGGCTCTCCAACAGTTCTGCTACTCGCAACGCGCCGCAGGGCTTCTTTTATATGCACCGGGTGGATTCTTTGAATAACAAAATGTCCAACCAGAAGCGCCGCTGGTCATGAGGTCAGACTCCTCCAATGGGGTCGCCGCTGGGCCGCGTTCTTCTTTCTCTTCGAATCTGGAGAGGCTGCGCTGCAGGTGGCTGCACCCAAGGACGAGTGACGTCGCAAGGCATTGCGTCAGACCCGCCAGACAGGAAGACGCCGGTTGTTTACTCGACGGGCTCACGGGCTGAGGTGACTCACTTCACGTGCGCAGCAGAAAGGCGCCGTCGCGTGATGACGCCATTAAGTTGTTCATCGCGTCGGGCAGGCTCGCGTGCTGGCCTTGACAGAGATTTCCTTTTTCCGAGGCATGGACGTTCGCTGCGGACTCGCAGGCATAACAACGCCAAGAGTTTACAGGTGCTCGAGGTGGTGGAAAGGGCCGATTTACCGAATAAACCGAAACTGGTGACCTGTAGTAGTTGGTGGCTGGACTGTATGAAGGGAGCGGCGGTTGGGCAGGAGGTCGGCGGACGGCTTCTGCATAAGTCAGCGGTGCAGCCACTGATATTGGGGACGCAGGCGAAGGGAGAGCCTCGGCAACTTGCGTCTGAATATCACGGCGAAGTGAGTGGTCCAGTTTTGTGGGGGTCTCGTTGATGGTGGCGACAAGAGAGAGCTGTCGAGCAACTTCCTCCCGGATGTACTGTTGAATTTGAGGCATTAATACGCTGTAGTCGGGGCCACTGCTTTTGCACTCCAAAGCCGAAATATCAGCTGTTTGCGTATTAGCGCGACGTGTAGAAATTTGTTGCTTGCGCAGCTCATCGAAACTTTGACATAGCTGAATCACGGTCGTGACGGTCTGTGGGTCTTTGGCCACAAGCATATGAAAAGCGTCGTCATCAATGCCTTTCAACATATTCTTTATTCTGTCCGCCTCCGTCATCCTCACATCAACTCGCCTACAGAGGCTGATCACATCCTCAATGTAGCTCGTGAAGCTCTCACCATTTCGCTGAAATCGTCCCCGCAGGCCCAGCTCAGCACGAAGCTTACGCATGGCTGGACGACCGAAAAACGAGGTGACGGCCTCTTTGAAAACCGACCAGGTGGGGATGTCGGCTTGGTGGTTGGTGAATCATAGGTTGGCCAAATCTATCAAGTAGAAGATGACGCGAGTCAGCTTCGCAGGGTCATCCCACTTGTTAATCGCGCTGGCATGCTCGTAATCTGCCAGCCAGTCCTCAACATCTTGATCTTCAGTGCCGTTGTATACTGGTGGGTCACGCAGACGAAGTACACCAGAACACATGACAGGTGGCAGCGTGGAAGAGGCTTGTGGGGGATCGACGCGCTCGGTCATCGCGGACTGAGATGGTAGCTTACGGCTGCGGAGCTCCAGGACGTTACCAAGCACGTTTCCACCAAATGCAACGAGCAAGGCTGCGTAAAAACACAGGTTATTATTCGAGAAACGTTAGCCGCAACAAGCTGGTACAGGCAGGAACCCGGCAAGCACGAGCCACACAAGGACGTCAACGTCTGCTTTCACGCTGGCACCACTATGCTTCGGTACTATATATATATATATATATATATATATATATATATATATATATATATATATATATATATATATATATATATATATATATATATATATATATATATATATATATATATATATATATATATATATATATTCCAGTAGATCCTCCGTGAGCGGTCACAACGTGGTTTATTTCGACGTTTCGGCCTAGAGTCTGGCCTTCATCAGGATGGATCCTGATGAAGGCCAGACTCTAGGCGCCGAAACGTCGAAATAAACCACGTTGTGACCACTCACATAGGATCGACTATATGCAACGCTACGGCCACTCAACCACCATGCCTGCCTATATATATATATATATATATATATATATATATATATATATATATATATATATATATATATATATATATAGTATATATATATATATATATATATATATATATATATATATATATATATATATATATATATATATATATATATATATATATATATATATATATATATATATATACGTGTTTCGTTTTCACACCACACAGATGAAAGCATGGCACGGTACACTTGCCTTGTATTTCCCCAATGCTCAACACAAACACTAGTATGATATGATAAAACTAAACTTAATTTAGGTCCGTAGGGTCATTAACTGGCATGCAGCAAGCCGCTCCCTCGTCGGTACAGACAGGCCTGGCTTCGCCACCAGGTCATGGGCCCATTCGACTGGCCATAGTTTTTTTCATTGAATCCAGACTGCCTGTCTTTAGAAAACCAGTGAAACTATTTCTTTGCTCTGTGATTTATACTTGTAACCATTGACCCAGTATTTTCGCTGTTAGTTTTACTTTTAGGCATGACGTATTACGGACGTTAAAGCATTAATGAGAAGAAAAAAAAGTAAAAAGCTTGAACACCAGTGTGTCTTTTTGATCCCGCTTTCTTAGCTTGTGTGCGGCGTCTAACAACGAGACAGCAGGCTCCGATTTCGACTCGCACTGCACATTTATGTTTAACTGCTCGCAGGTTTGCAAAACGAGAGTGAAGAAACCAGGATAGTGATTCCTGAACATCTTTGCGGAGGCGTACGAAGCATTAATTGCTGAGCACGCATCTGCAAGTCGAGGACGAAGCGGCAAGCCACGCGGCACTCCGTGAACAGCGGAGGTGCGCGGACAGCAGCCTCACAAGCACGTGACCACAGCACCGAAGGCGCCTGCGACAGTGAAGCGTGGGGCGTGGTTGTCGCATCACTACATTGGCATCACTATGCTTGTACTAGCTGAAAAACGGAAGTGTTGTCGTTACACTCAATAACGCTGCTTATAGGACGCGCCGTGTATAGATATTTCGCACTATTCACGACACTTAGAAAACGTGAGCCACCGTAGCACGCAGCGTAGGACTCGCCTTTGCGAAGTCGTTGGTGGAAGTAAGGCTTGAGGTTCCACTAAGTGCATTAGCACCGGCGACAGGGAATCGTTGTAGGTGTGTCGAGAATCGGTTGGTAAAAAATAGTAGTGGGCACTAGCCGAAACTTGCACTTTAGGTCTACAGACTGACATTTTCGTATAAATGAGGAATTGAAACCACACAAATTGACGTTTAGAGAGCTGATACGGTGATTTGAGAAATCAGAAGTAGAACAGATGACAACTGTAATAAAAAAAAGCGTCAGCTGAGAAGGAAGAAATTCAGAAACGAGATCTCCCCCCCCCCTCCCCTTTCTTGTTTTGGGATAAAAAATAGCATCCGCCTTCAAAAAACGGCAGTATTCTGCGCAGGATCATGGAAAAGTGAGCGGTTGCAGTTGAAGAAACGTCTGTCCTAATTAGAGAGCAGATATGACAAGGGCCGTGCCATTCCACTGATTGACTGAAACGCTAGATTTACTAATAAACACTGATAGCCATGGATGTCTCGCAGTGAAATGCGGACTTTTTGTACAACCAGAAGAGCAAAAAAAAAAGACAGTAAGCGAATTATTTGGACTTACTCAAAGAATCTATTGGTCAAATGAAATTACTTCTCTTCGATTCCCCCATATTTGTCGTGAGCATGTGATTACACCATCAAACTATGTTCTGAGCCCTACGATATGAAGTAGCCGAACGGTTTATACATTGTCCAACTTCTCCCAATTATTAAGCTCTCGTCTCCTATTCTTCTGTATTCGAAGCCAGTTTGTGAGGATCTGTACGAAAAATTGCGATGCTGGAATTGCTGGTAACAAAGGCTGCCAATTCGGGCAGAATCCGCAATGCCTTTACTTCAAAAATGTTTCGTTTTGCCACTGGCCGACCGGTTTTTTAGGGACAAATTCAGCGTCGCAGTAGGCTGAAATTTTTATTACAAAGAATTTCAGGGTACGATATCCGTTTTGCACTCGGGCGCCACGCTTCTGTCGGCCAAGAATCATGACACAGCATCGGCACACAACAATCATGTTGACATGTTTGATGACTACAACAGTATGCAAGCACTACAGTAACGTAACCGTATAAAACTACTGTTATATGGTTTGATATATAACAGTACAAGTGACTGTCAGATATCGATGCATGGGCATGATACAAAACTTTAAACGAAGATGCATCAGTGTGCATTGCTTCAAGATAAAGAAAGAAACATGTACAAACAGCAAACCTTTTCATTCTTTATTAACTGCTGCCTGGCACGACCTACGAGAAAGGGAGACTTCTCTTAAGAAATGTAGTGGATGCCTAAGCAGTGCCTCTTGTTTGCTTGCTTGTTTGTGTTGAACTTGCCGACTGCATGTATTTGTCCCATTCACAATGTTGGTGTGAGAATGATTGCCTTGTACGTTTTTAGCGATTCTTCTTGCTATGTTTTGCTGTATGGTTAACTTTTCTGACTTCTCCCTTTTGTATTCTTTATCTTATTCCTTCTTTCGTTATAGACTGTAGGAGGACCTCTACACGTACTATAGTCGTGTGAAATACGTAGTGCTTCTTTTGATATCGTAGTAGCCTACAATCAGTGTGTTAACTTTCTGAATTCTTATTTATAATTATTTTTGGAACCCAGAATCATCCATCTTGCTTATTCTTTATGTGCGCGTTGATTTTTATTGTTAACTTCGATGCAATATTGATCCTTCTGCAAGCACATCGATGCGTCGCATGTAGCGATTGCTCATAGTGCCTGAAACAGGGTATATTGACCAGAAAAGCAACGTCAGCTTTCATGTATATTGTGGTTTATATCATGACTGATGACTGCGCATTCAGTGTTTATATAAGTTCTATAGTTTCAGAGATGAAATGAGATGGCTGCAAGGTTTTGCTTTTTTGGCGTTCCAATAAAAAAGCGGAATCTAGGGTTGCTGCTTTGCTATTCGTAGATTTCCTCGCGATGCCTGTATCATATTTTTTGTGCCGCTATATTCTTTTGCTTTGCTCTAAATGGACAAGAAAGAAGAATGTAGGGTGTCATTTGCATGAGCATAATGTTCAAAATGCCATCTCAGGCATTTGAGCTGAATCGTGCTTTGAATATTTTATTACTGTGCAGGACGTCTTCGATTCCGAATAGGGAGGGGGGGGGTAAGATATTGAGGCAAGAAGTAAGCCCACCTTCCCCTCTGGCACCTGCCCCGGCGTGCAAGCAAGCGAGGTATACGACTGGTTTTGTCTACCGTCGATATGCGGCCAGTGTCGAAGTTGTCCCGTTGAAAAATGTCGCGCAACGCCGCAGTGTCATGTGCGTTATCTGTTAATTGTGTTGTCAGGGATGGATGCCTCAAAGAGGGAATTTAACGTAAGGACAAAGCAGCAAGAAACGCGCGACTTCGCACTTAGTGCGAATGATCATGTTATTCGGGCGCAGCAGTTACAAGACCGGCAAGATTAGAGAGAAGGATCGCATGGACTACCAGGGGGTGACATACGTGGCAGAACGTCTCAGAGGCGATGCCCAGGGCTCAGAAGTATTGGGCTTTCATGTTCCCGGTGGCCACGCACTTCAAGCATCTCACCTGGGTCCGATTGCCCGCACGGCAGTTTCTTCATAGAAGCCACGAACGTTGCGAAGGCGTCCGTCCGTTCGAGGTAGCCCAGCAACTTCCACAAGGCTTCGGCTGGGAATGTTGAAGTGGCGCCCAACCGTTGACAGTCTCAGAGTGCGGATCGTCGTATCGGCGTCCGTCATCGCTATTTTGATAAGTGTAAGGTGCTTTAAAAACGAGATAAATGCTGCACAAAAACTGCGCGTGGGCATGGTGCGTGGCCCGGTGAATTCATCACTCGTATTAGTGTGCCGATCGTTTCTAGAACATGTTAAGTCACGGGCCTTATGAACGAAACTAAGAAGTCATGTATAAGCTGTCTAGAACGACTAAGCACTTTATTAGCGTCATGCGTACATGCAATTTGATCGTGCTATTTAGGAACAATTTGTTTTTTTTTACAGCGAAAGCTGTTACTATATCACAACACGTGTCGTGTGCGCCGTATAGTTGTCCGCCGCCGCCGGTGTCCGCAACCACTATCGCACGAAATAAGAAAAAAAAAACTTCAGTAAATATAAACACCAAAGACACAATTAGATTCATAGCTGGGTCACCTGCGTGCAAGCCCAGTATTCTATCACTGAGCCACGCCGTTTTTGCTTTAATGCATGAAAATAATGCAATCGAATGTTGTCACATATATGTTTACAGTTTATCGTTCCAAAATTATGAAACTGTGTCTTGAGCCACTCTGTTTTCACCTCGTTATTACTTTCTTTTGCACACCATACAGTAATAATACAGTGCATAAACAGTGCATGCAGAGGTAACAAGCAGTATGGTTTACATCGGTGCTTTGAACTCATTTACCAAGCGGCCTTAGGCAGGCTTGATGTTTGGAAAGGAATCATATTAGTATGAGTGATAAAGCGTTTTAGAACAGCAATAGAATAACAAGGGGTCACACAATGTGAATCGCGCAACGAGTGGGTAGTGGAGTGATCAAACCCTTTAAAGAAACTTGATCCTGTTCACCTATTAAATATGGCGCATGTCCACTGTGGGGTACTGTGATTACAAAAGCTTCAAGCTTAATTCTTCATCGTCGTCAGCCACTGCCCGAAGTTCCTTGCAACTGTGCAGCGGGTACCATGCTTCTCCGAAGAATGATGAAGGATGGCAAATGGAATGTCTGCCTACTGCAGAATGATTTATGGGATAGTGGGTACCTGCAAGTGCGCTTGGAGCAGCTACTGAAAGAGTGTTAAAAAAAGTTCTGAAAGGCCGCTCTTCCAGCTTTTTCCGTGACAGTGCTGAGCGTTCTCCGCAGGCCTGTTTTTTTTTTGCGAATCTTTTTTTTTTCTTGCTAATACTTTGTATATTTAGGCATAACACGTGTTTTGGATGTAAGCAGCTTCGCTTCTCCGAATGGCAGTCGGTGCGTTGCTCCTTTCTTTTTTCTAAATTTGACACAATGCTCTAAAACCTTGCTGATAGTGACATGCACGTCATCTTTTTTCTTGACATATATAATTACGGGTAGCATATCAGTTCATCGAACCATGCAAAATTTTTACTTGTGCAAGTTGTCAATTAACAGACTTACAAAGCTATACAGTTTTACCTAACTAAGCATCAGTTATTTTTTAAAGATGATACAGTTAATGGATTACCGTTAACACTTTGCATTGTCACTTTACCTGATGTAACGAGCATATTCGAACTATCTGATTAGATGGTGCGTGAAGAGAGAGAGAGATACATTTTTTTTAGAAGAACAGAGATTTTTGCCGGCGTCTATATATTGCTGGCATGCTACTGTGTACAGGGATGGGGAAAAGGACCGAAAATTTCAGAAGAGAGGGAAGAAAGCGTAAATCATGGCATGGCAATGGGAACTATATACAGATGCGAGACAGTGAAATACATCTATTAGAGCGCTGTGTCCTCTGTATTTCCCTCCTTCTGATTTGGGTGCACGTTAAAGAATCCCAGGTGGTCGAAATTCCCGGAGCCCTCCACTACGGCGTCTGTCATAATCATATGGTGGTTTTGGGACGTTAAACCCAACATATCAATCAAATCGATTTATCTTTCACTCCCACGTAATTCGCGCTGTTCTGCCAAGAGATGTGAGCAGAGGAATGTGTGTACCTCGCCTTCGCAGTTTGTACTAAACATGCGGGCCTCACTTCACTGCAAGGCGTCTGGGAAGGAGATGGGGGCGCTACAAAAAACCGAGTCCCCGTCTACCAAATAAAAAAAAAAACAGTGGTATGCCTATCGATTATGGCTGTGCCATAAGTTCATGAACCAACGGGCCTGCATATTAATTCTTGTGTGAATTCTTGCAGAAGCTATTTGACAGTGAAGTTGAATCACACTAAATCAGCAGAGCCTTGTCGCCCCTGCAAACATTTTACTTGATGGCTGCCCAACGAGAACTGCCCTTTTCAGCGTAGCTTCGTCGAAATAACATCAATCAGATGCCTGTAGTCAGACGTATGCGACTGCTCTTTCTTTCTGTCTTAACGATACAATCCTAACTGCTCCAAAAGCTGCACTGCGAACTTGCTGGAGGTCACAGATGCCCTATTGGTTGTTGCTCTATCTGCAAATCCCTTTCGCGAACGTGTGGAGAATGGAGAAGTTGGCTTTTACTGCGATTACATCAAGCTTCACTTACGACCTTGCATTCTGCGAATATAGCATGAAGCGTTGTCCTACCAACTTTGACACTGATAGTACCGTCTCGGGCAACGCATTTGCATGTCCATGTGCCAAACGCACTTCTCGAAATTGGGTTTTGTCGACGAACCAAGTACGCATGCACGTGTAATAGCGATGAGCCAGCTATGTACCTAACTTTCGGATTCTGAACGCGTATCCCGGCGACGTTCCATGCACCACACCTTAGCGCGTCACCTCGTAGACAGGCCAGCTCTTCAACTTGCATAAACACAGACAGAATAAACGCTGCGGCCGTGTTCGTCAGCTGA